TCTTATTCAGGCAGCCATAGATTTTGATCTTCTAACCCTTTCAGTAAATTAGTTTTCATAATTTTTTCTAGAAGTTCTTGTTATGACTCGCCAGAACTGAAGATTTATTTAATGCTGAAGAAGAATGGCTGAATAGCAGATACATCAGGACACCATGTGTATTTGAAAATGTGTGACAGCTATACTTGGAAACAAATTTCCACCAAGAAAAAGGGATATAATTGCCCAGTAAAGAGTAAAATGGTTGATGAGCAATAATTTATTCTATTGAAGGAATTTAGCTATATCTGTGATATGCCGAATTTGCTAGGAGAATCATACAGATCATTTTCTTTTATCTGGCTGGAAGAATCTGTACAGATCATTTTCTTTTATCTGGCTGGATATTGTAATATCTATAGTAATAAGATCTAAGGAAGGAATAAAAGCTTTTGGGGAACTTTTTGTGATGTCTAGTCAGTTGTAAGAGTCACAATGGATGGGAAGGGTTTTTTTTTAAACATGTAATATTTTGTTTTTGTGGTTTTATGGAGTACTATTGTCTGCTTATGGAGTACTATTGTCTAGCATTATAGTTGGGGCTACCTACCAGGTACTGTAAGTAGCATGGACCAAGAAATCAGTTATAATTCCAAGGGTGTAGGTATTTAAATTTTTTTGAAGGTTGGGGGAGTTTAATCTGACAAGGATTTCAGTGAAGAGGAAATAGAGTAAACAGTGTAATAAAAGAAGAAGCTCATTAATTATTCAGTACAGCGCTGGTTTTGTTTGACTGTGTGACTTTTTATATTTTATTTAAAAAAAATCAATTTTGATAAAACAATAATTCTACTCTGAATTTATCAGAAGCCACATCTTATATCAAAAAATTTTCATAATGCATTTATAGCTGTAATTTAATTTCAGTTACACATTTCCAAATTTGAAGTATATCATTACATACCCCATTTCTCCCGAGAGAAAAAAAAAAAATCATGAGATATTTCCCAATCATTTTCTTTCCCTTTTTTTCTCTCTCTCTTTTTTTTCCTCAGAAATGTCATTAGCAGCAAAAATCTTGCAACATAAAAATATTCTTGAAAGTAAAATTTATTGCATTGGAGTGTAGTTGTTATTATTTGTTATAAACTTCTGGAGTTGATAACAGAAAAGCAGTTTTTTTGGGGGGGAGGGGGAGAACACAGTTTTACTGCTGCTACTTAAATGGGTGAGCAGAAATATTTCCTTTTGTGGATTGAGTATGCAATCATGATATTCACTATGATGGGAGACAAGTGTCCTATATTTATTATTCTTTTGTTTTTTTTAAATTGTGGATAAAAATTAGAAGTGTATTGAAGAATAGTTGAAACAGGATTAAAAATCAGAAGTATGATTATATTCATCAGATTTTTTTTCATTCTTTACCTTTGTATATTGGTAATTATTTTCAAAATTCATGGTATAACATGCTAAAGTAAATGTTGAATAACTGTCAGTATTTCATATTTTGAGTGTTTGATGCTTTTATGATGCTGTAAAAAATTGTATTTTTATTAAATATATGAAATTATGTATCTTTAAACATATCTGAAACATCAGTCTTTAAGCCATGTTCTTTCTGCTTCTTCTAAAATTGATAGCATTTTGATATGCTTTTCTGTATCACATTATTCTTTTAACCATAATGTGAGGATTTTTTTTCCTCTTCTACTTTTTCCTGCTATCTTTCTAACACATCTGTATGCATTGTGTCTTGCATGGTTTGTATAGCTTTGTCGATGTGAGCTGTCAGCTGTGTAATCGTAAAACGTAGCTTGATCCATTCGGTTTTCTTAGTCTATTTTTATTTTTCCTGTAAATATAAAATTTTTTGTAGTCCATTCATCTAGAAGAAAAATTTGAAAGCTAACACAAATGTGGCATTTGGGGATGCCAGTAACATCATGGTGAATGTAAACATCAAGCTGAAGCTCAGTGTTGTTTGAAATTTGGGCAATTTTTTTTAATGCTTGAAATTATATTATCTTGTAAATACTTAATAGATATTTTAAATTATATTACTGAAATTCTTAAAATAAATACTATTTTTAAATCCTATTTGTTTGATTGCTTCAATTTATTTTTGCTATTTATATGTGTCTGAGATTCATTTTCTCTTCCAAAAGCAGCTATAAGCAAAATAATAGCTAAACTTATTTATAAAACTGCCATGTAAGGGGGGAAATGATAAAAGTTTTATGCCTTTTTGAGAATATGTTGAATCTTTTGTTTAATTTTAGTCCATGATGAAGGGGAGTTGCAGGTACAAGTGACAGAATTTTATGGTTAGTAATACTGGTGTAGTCCCTACTGCACAAACTGTAGCTTTGGTGCAGTTCTAATGGAGAATACTGTAGGGGATAGTCTGAGGATCTCTCACCCTTCTTCCTCGACCACCAAATCACTGGCGAGGGTGATTCAGTGCAGGATTTACGTATAAGCTATGCAAGCTATAGCTTAGGGCCCCTACTTTCTTGAAGGCCCCCAAAAATTTAAAATATAGTATAACAGACTTATAAAGTACCCCATATTTCAAATAGCTTGGGACCTCATCAAGTCTAAATCTGGCCCTGACTGTCTTTTATTGTAAATGCCTCATACTACACAGATCACAAACTAATGTAACTATCAGGGGAGCTAAATAAACTACACTAACATCTTTAATCATAAAGTAGATCAAAAATTTTTTTTTAGTGCCAAATGTACTGGAACTATCTACCTGTGTGGATGACTTTCCAAGGAAAAATGATGTATATTTACATTACACACGGAGAAAGCTATGATGACTTCATGTGGCAAGGAGGAATCTGTAACCAAAATGAATTGAAGAGAGATATTAACAGCTTTCGTGATTTAAATTGCTAGATCTGCCAGTTAATCATGAATTTATCAGAGGTCTTATTTCCAAGATCATTTCATTCCGAATGTATTCCAAGGGTGAAATAAATCAAAATTTAAGAGTGAAATATCTGTTATACAGTACACAGTCTGTAATCCGGACTCGTCAGAACTTCGGCAATTCCGGATTAAGGGTTTTTTCCAGATTATAGATCATCATTTTAAATCTGGTAAGATGGGATGCAGAAATTATGCAATTAAAAATATGAAACCGTAATTTATGAAATAAAGAGCAATTATGATCTAAAGGTTATCAAAATTTACAAAAAAAGGAACTTAATATTTATTTGTTTACTTTATTAAACATTTTTGTCAATGAAGTTGTTTAAGTTGCTTCGTTTTTTGTGCTAAATGCGCATGCGTAAACATTAAACACTCATCGCGCATGTGTAAAGCATACAAAAAGGAAAAGTTTGTGGCTTTGAGGTCCAGATTATAGATCATTCCGGATAATGGACGTTCGATTACAGACTTTGTACTGTAATTTTTAAAAATGTGTGTTGTGTGTTTCTTTTTCACTGTCTTCTTGATCATTAGTACAACTGTATATGATGCATTCAATATTTTTTAAAAAATGCTTTGCAAAATTTGTAAAGGTTATTATTCTTGAAACACAATTTTGTGTTGTTTTACTTTTTCATTCGTGTCTGTTGCCATTTGGAAAATTTCTGATGTAGACACCATATGACTTCCTTGTAGGGCCTATTAAATTATATACATTTTATGTTTCATTTCATTTAAACTTATTTTCTTGAATTTCATTAGAAATATATTTCTCATTCAATTAATTCAGTTTTCACTTTGCCGCTAGGCAGTCAAAATATCTTCATTAAAATTGAAAAATATAGAAAAACATAAAACTCGAAATACAGTTAAAACAATTAAAAAACAGTTTTTACAATTAAAATTGGAGTGTCTACGCAAAAACAAGCAATTCGGCCAGCGGGCAAAAAGACAGATTTTTCAGTGCACAGAACTGGAGGTTTACTTTTAGTTTCCTTTGCAAAATGACACTGAAGGTGCAGAAACTGACTTAGTTCTGCTAAGTTTCAAATACAGTCAAAATATATGTTTTAAATGTGGCTAAGTTCTTAACTGGAATATAAGAACGACATAATTCAATCATTTTTAAAGCAAAAAATGCGCAATTTACCAGCATATAAGAATTAAAAATAAAATTTAAAAAAAAAAAAAGGACTCACCAAGGTGAGTAACAGAGTGGATATATATTTATATACTTCTAGTGCGGTCAATTGGGACCAAAAAGAGAGATGCACAACTACATGTTCTAGCAGTCATGTATACAAAATGTCAACATTCTGAGGCTGCTTGTTTTTGAGTTATGTGAGATTTTCCCTTCCTTTAATTAAAAGTCCATTATTTTAATTGCCAAGCAGTTTTTTAAATGACTAAACTTTTGCATAGTATGTAGCTGTGGAAAAAAAACATATTTGAGTCGTTCACTTTCTTGCATTCATGAATTAAAATATGCACTGCTATTAGTGACATTTTAAATTTTTAATCATCAGTTGCATTTTTTAAGGCATACTTTTTGAATTTTTCATACTTTTGGTTGATTTGATATAGTCTGAATTATTCTTGCAACAGTGTGTATCTCCTTAAATATTGTTATAATTTTTCTATTTCTGAATGAAAACCAATAGTTTCTTATTGTTTCTTAACTCTGTATTTGAAATGAGACTATAATATGTTGACTTAAAGCTTTGCTTTGATTCTCATTTTACTACAAAAATAAGTTAAAAATATGTCGTACTTATGATTTACACATTGAAGTTTAATCACTTCTTTCAAATAATTTCATTTAACAAACAGTATTTTGTCATTATATTTGACAGATGGTAAAACATTTGCTAAGTATCCTTTAAGTAATTGTATTCAGTATATAATAAAATTAGCACCAGATAAACTGCATAATTTCAAATTATATTGTTGAATTCTGTAACAAATAAATCTCTTATCCTAGTTAAAAGATATATTGGCATGTTAAAAATAAATTGTTTTAAATTATGTGGTACATTTTCAGAATAAAAACTTCATACTATTATTTTTTTTCTTTTTAGGCATATTGTTGAAACTGAAGGTGCTAGAGCTTTATTTAAAGGTTTGGGTCCTAATCTTGTTGGAGTTGCTCCATCGAGGTAAGTTCAAAGTAATGACAATACTTGTATAATTATATTTTTTATTTATTGATAATTATTTCCTTTATTTTTTGTCTATTATTGTTTATTTTATTTTATATTTTTAGGGCTGTCTATTTTTGTACATACTCACATACAAAGAATTTCTGCAATGAAAGGTTAACACCTGATACCCCTGTTGTCCACATTTGCTCTGCTGCTTGCGCAGGTAATAATTACATATAATTTTTTTTTATTTGTAATATAGTAAAATCTAAATTAATTCGGCTTCCTCATCAAGAATCCTACCTTACGAAAACAATGGAGAAAAGTAACCTTACATAAAGATATTTTTTTAAAAAAGTTATTTGCCCCCTCTCTCCCAGAACCTTTTTTTTTTAAAAAAACCAAACTTTCTTCATAGTGTTATTCTTTAAAGCTAAAATTATAGTTTAATCCAAGAGCAAGCACGGCCTTTGCAATAAAAACTATCCCTGCATGAAAGAATTCTAAATAAATTATACTGGTTATCATAATTTAAGGAAAAATCATGATTACTGAAAAAGTTACATGTAGAATTTTATGAAACTTACCCACAATATACAACACATAGTAAGGTATCAAATGACATAAAAAGAACTTACCAGACAATTATAGCATTATAGAAATTAGCACATGTATAAAATGAACAAATCAAAGAGTGTCAGTTTGCTATAGGAAAAGTACCTTCAATATGGAATATGATTGCCTCTATGTGTGATGCTTTCAATTATACGGTCTATCAGTTCCATAGGAAGCGAGAGCCATTGCTCTTGCAAAGCAGTTGCAAGCGTGGCAAGTGTCTGAGGGGGTGGATTGAAAGCAGCTAGACGTCTCCCTAAAGCATCCCAAACGTGCTCGATAGCAATCAAGTTCGGGGATCGACCTGGCCACTCTATGCGCATAATGGTTTCCTGTTGAAGATAATCATCTACGATGTGAGCTCTGTCTGTTCTTGCATTGTTGTCCTGTAATAGGAAAGCATCACCTATTGCCCGGCATATGGACGCACATGAGCATCAAGGATGTCATCTCTGTAAACCTGAGCATTCATGGGTCCCCTTGAAATGATATGGAGGTTTGTGCGTCCATCCAGAGAGATGCCAACACGGAAACTGCCTCTTCCTTATGCATCTCTTTCACTGTTTGAACACTTTTCACTGTTTTTTTTTTTTTCAGATGTTTGACGGATGATAATGGGTTCCATGTTCTCTCCATATAAAATAACAACTAGTATTGTTTTCTAAACTAAACTAAACCTGGACTCATCCATAAAGAGAACATCCCTCCATTGATCAGGCATCCAGTGGACATGTTCTGCCCACTGCAAACGATCTCGCCTATGGCGTGACGTAAGCGGCACGCAAATGGCTGGTCGCCTCACATGCAGACTACCTTCGTGAAGCCTTCTTCTTCTACGTTGACACCAGCCTTCCGGTGGCTGCAGCAAGGGAGGAGCTAAGAAGAGTCAAAATAGAGGTTCTATTCTTGCATGCACATAATGTCAAATATCGGTCATCGGTGCTTGTCGTAGCAGTTGGCCGTCCTTGGCTGAACCTACGAGATGCCGAATCTGTGGTTTGAAATTGCCTCCAAAGTCTATGAACCACTGAAGGACTTGCATTTAGCCATCTGGCCACTTCTATTTGTCCTGCCTCTAGTCTGCGAATGCCTCTCCATCGTAGTTCTGCAGGCAAATGGTGCCTAGAGATCATTGTTATGAATTGGCTATCTCAGATTTCTGATATCACTATCACAGTGAAATATATGGGCTTGCTCTCAAACATGGACATTTATGCTCCTCACAGATGATGTATTCTGAGTAGTATGCCACTAATTTACATATTGCAGTTTTACTCAGATACTCTTACATGGCAACATATTCAAATTTTACACATTTTGGCTTATTTTGAGGGAGTTATCCCTATTTTTGTGGTTTTTTTCTTAATTTATAATAACCAGTGTATTAAGAAAATTATCTAGTACCTTTAGTGTTACCAGATGTGAATGAAGGTTATGTTAAGGTAAGTTTTTGGGAGCTTTTCATAGGAATTTTTGAAGGAGCAGTTTTTTCTTGTACTCGGTATCTTTCAACGTAAATTATACTACATCTCAAGACCGTAACATTGGCCATAGTATTCTGTATAGAATAAGTATGTTTATACAAAAGTAATTTGGCATAATAAAAGTATTTTGGATATATCCATGCAGAAGTCCCCCCCCCCCAAAAAAAAGTAAAATGCTATAAAGTTGACATAAATCTACCAGTTCATGAAAAATTATTTACTGTTTTCTATCCAAATATTAGAATAGATTTCTGTAACATTTGACAAACTTTTTTTCATTTGTAAAAGGAATTTCACCTGTTACTCAGTCACATGCTAACATTTCATGGTAGTTACGTATTACCCCATCATCAGTTCTATGGCTACCATAGAACTGTGAATGTAATGGAGATTCTGTCAAAGTTGCACCATTTGCTCTTGCAGAATTCTGAAGGAGCTGTCATCTCTTTATTTAATAAATGATTAGTATTCTATCCACTTTATTTTCACACTTCCAAATTTACTGGAAGCCCTGTTTTAAGATATGATCACATAACTTTTAAACTAATCCTCTGTTTGCCATTGTGTAGAAAGACTAAATTTTAATAATTTCTTTCAGAATTCAGAGAAAAAAACATACCAGTAACAGTTAATTTATATCCTTGTTCATAAAAACAAAAACATAAGGTTATCAGAGATCAATTGAGTTTACATCAAATGAAGGTGGAGACATTATGAGTGTGTTGTGATGTTGCGCACATCCAAAACTGGCACTTGCTTTGGTGACACTTTCATGGTCGATGTGATGATACATGTGTAGATGTTAAGATGAGACTTAGTGATCTCAGAATGTTATACATGAACGTAATGGATTTTGAAATTTTTTCTGTTGGTCTGAAGGTCATTTTCATACTTACTGCATATTAAATGGTGATACACATAATTGCTTGCTTTGAGCAGAAAGCATCTCAAAAGGTCAGTCATTATTTTAAATAACATAAGTGTGTAAATTTGTATTAAAATGTACTTTTGCTGATCAATTGTTGCATAGTCAATTTGAAAAACTAATCACAGATTATTTAGATGCTGCTCAGTTTGAATGACCAGATTGTACTGTATGTAGTTTTGTACTTAAGAGAGTTGTAACAAGTAAATATTTATGTACTTAATTTGGAGTTTATATTGAAGGTTTTAATTCCAATTTTTTTGTTGTTGAATTTGATATGAAGTAGCAGTATTGTTTTTTGTAACTTATGATCTCTTAATGTACAGAGTGAGAAAGTAGTGCAAGATTTTTTGACTGGTCATATTATATTAAGATTCTATCCTTGGAAAATGTTGCCTGAAAGAGTTCAAAACATTGTACAGTCAAAAGTCTTTAATCCTTACTCGTCAGGACTTTGGCGATTCTGGATTATCAGTTTTTTCGGATTATAGATCATCAGTTTAAATTTGGTAAGATGGCATGCAGAAATTATAAAATTAAATAACTTACCATAATTTATGAAATAAAGAGTAATTATGAGCTAAAGGGTATCAAAATTTACAAAAAAAAAGGTTAATATTTATTTGTTTACTTTATTAAACATTTCTTTCAACGCGCGCATGCGTAAAGCATACATTACGCATAGTCGAAATTAGAAAATTGCAAGCAGAAAACTATTTGATCTGTATTCGTGATATTTATAATGAGGAGGAATTTGATTTAAATAATATCAAAGAGGGAGTACATCGAGATGAAATACTACATTTAGTAAGGAATTATAAGCCGAATAAAATAAAAACATCTGCCTTGAAGATAAGGATAGTGCTGACAGATCAACTTCCGATTCATTAGGCACCGCCACATCCCCCCCCCCCCCCGGGCAGAGCAGCTGTAAATGATAAACAGATTTCGGAATGGTTAGAGAAACAAAGGATATGCCTTTTATCCATTTTTTTGCACAATTCCACTTTTTGATGGACATCGAAACATGCTTTCGCTTTGTAGATCCTTTGGCAGCTCCAGAATCGGAAATTGTTTTTGACATAATCAAAAGTTCAAGCTTACTTTTATAAAATTGCTCTAACAGTCTGCAAAAAATAATAAGCCGGATCCAATTGGAAGATTAAGGAACAATGCAATCTGCAACATTAACTAAAATAGATAATTTTAGCTTAGTGTATACCGTCCGTTATACATTAAACGTGTATGCGTAAACGTATTAATGCGCATGCGTAAAGGTATTATGCACATGCGTAAACGCATTATGCATTTACGCATGCGCAGAAAGTTTGTACTTTTGAGGTGTGGATTATAGATCATTCCGGATTATGGACGTCCGGATTAAAGACTTTTGACTGTATTATATTGTTGCATAAAAGTACTAACCAGGCCTACAGCAAGAAATTCTTTTAATTTTGAAAGCTTCAGTTATTGAAAGATGAACCATTAGTTAGAGGCATTGACTGTTTGAGTAGTTTGTATGCTCAGTTTTAAGAACTTGAATTCTTTTGTGTTTAAGTTTTGCACTTTGATGTCATTGTGTGCCGAAATAATTGTAAGTTGCAATAAAAAAAATTTAGACGTTTAAAAATTTGAGAAGAAAGCTTCAGGATATTTTAAATTATTTATATTTATCAATAACTGTTTTTCTAAACATTAGCAATTATTAATTTAATTTTTAAGTTGGAATTATTACTTTTATAAAGCATCATATACACAGTTGGCCACTTCTTTGGCATTTTTCTGTTAATAATGTCAGTACTCAAAAGTGCGCTACAGTTGAAAATTTTAGCCTGTTTATATCGTATCATGAATATTTGTGCAGTGAGGTTGTTCTACAAAAGCGGGAAGTATAAATATCAGTCTAGGAATTTTCTCTCCTAGATTTTCGCTTGCTTAAGTAGATGAATTGGCAGCTGTCAACTTGCACGTGTATGGATATAAACACTTTCAAGTTAACTGAAAATATAATGTTATTGATCCTGACATAGGATTCTATGTGGAAAGGGTGAAATTAAAATCAGGATGTCACTGGCCACCATCATCTAGATAGATTCTTTATAAAATTTATGCAGTTACATTTGCATGAAAAGATGTGAATGTTTTTGGCAATGCTTTATGAAATTGGCAGTTTTATATCTTGTGTGTAATATGAAATTAATTTGCTAAGATTTTATTTTGAATATTGGTATTTGGATTTTCCATTTATTCTGGAATTAATGAAATCATAATTTTTGCCATGAAACTTTTCTTATCGTTGTTAAGATTTCTGCCATCTAGTTAGATTCTGTGCCATCGTTTTATGTTTAGCACTAAGTGGCACCCCATTAACAGAAAAATACATATTTGTCTTTTGTTGAAAATAATATTTTTGCCATCCATTAAAAATTATTCAGCTTGACTTTATTTTGTTATGTTAGAGCAGCAATTGTCATCTTGTAGTAATAAAGGATATTAGCAAAATTTTGTAATCGCCATCATTTTCTATCTTGCCTACAGTGATTGGGTAGCTAAGTATTGGCATTGCATGTTAAAATTCCTGTATATGATTCAGATTTTGAAACTAAATTTACAAACATTCTTGTTTGGTAATAAATATGAGAGGTAATGGCTGTGGTTCAAAGTAAAACTAAGTTAAGCCACAGAAATATTTAATTATTTACATAATGTACAAAGTTACAGGTTATGTGCTCTAATTAGCACAGACAAAGTGAAACGAGCGAATGTAGCATAGGTACATTCTTCAACTACTGACTAAACTAAATTTGCTTCCTCTCACAAGAGGGCGCTATGTTAAACCAAACACATGCTTTTGTTTTGAATAATTTCTTATGGTTACTATTTTTTGTACTAATATTAATTAATAGTTTTTAAAGAACATAAATCGTCTTTAAGGTGAATGGTATCACTGTTACTGGATAATGTTAGTCATCACTGCAACTGACCTTAATTTCAAATGAATAATATAATTAGCTGAGGTATAGAGAAAGGAAAGAGTTATAATTCTACACTGTAAAATATTTAAATCACTCAGTACATTGTACCAAATGACCCTGAATGTAATTTATTTTAAAATGCAGTGAGACAAATCATTACCATTTTTTCGCAAACAAATTATAATTATGCATGCCCTTAATTTCAAATGAATAATATAATTAGCTGAGGTATAGAGAAAGGAAAGAGTTATAATTCTACTACACTGTAAAATATTTAAATCACTCAGTACACATTGTACCAAATGACCCTGAATGTAATTTATTTTAAAATGCAGTGAGACAAATCATTGCCATTTTTTCTCAAACAAATTATAATTATGCATGCCCTTAATTTCAAATGAATAATATAATTAGCTGAGTTTATAGAGAAAGGAAAGAGTTATAATTCTACACTGTAAAATATTTAAATCACTCAGTACATTGTACCAAATGACCCTGAATGTAATTTATTTTAAAATGCAGTGAGACAAATCATTGCCATTTTTTCGCAAACAAATTATAATTATGCATGCCCTTAATTTCAAATGAATAATATAATTAGCTGAGGTATAGAGAAAGGAAAGAGTTATAATTCTACACTGTAAAATATTTAAATCACTCAGTACATTGTACCAAATGACCCTGAATGTAATTTATTTTAAAAAGCAGTGAGACAAATCATTGCCATTTTTTCGCAAACAAATTATAATTATGCATGCCCTTAATTTCAAATGAATAATATAATTAGCTGAGGTATAGAGAAAGGAAAGAGTTATAATTCTACACTGTAAAATATTTAAATCACTCAGTACATTGTACCAAATGACCCTGAATGTAATTTATTTTAAAATGCAGTGAGACAAATCATTGCCATTTTTTCGCAAACAAATTATAATTATGCATGCCCTTAATTTCAAATGAATAATATAATTAGCTGAGGTATAGAGAAAGGAAAGAGTTATAATTCTACACTGTAAGATATTTAAATCACTCAGTACATTGTACCAAATGACCCTGAATGTAATTTATTTTAAAATGCAATGATACAAATCATTGCCATTTTTTCGCAAACAAATTATAATTATGCATGCCATTTCTAATGAAGCAAAGTACTGATTCCAAAATATAATATGCAGACAAATTTTACATTATTATTTGCAACACATTGACAGTAAAATTTGGTTTGAGTTATAATATAATGAAATACAAATCAACGGGACTTTAGCAATTCTTGATTTTAGAGCATCAGCTTAAATCTAGTAATGTGGCATGTAGACATGGCAGCATTGGGCATCCATATATGCATTGTTCAAGTCAGATAGAAAAAATGCTAGACAAGGGTGGAAATGCTAAAAAATGCTAACCAAAAGGTGGAAAAATGTTATCCTGGCCAACATCAGTATAGCAATCAATTCATTATCATTGGCCACCGTGGGATCTGCAGCCAGCTGGTGTTTAAAAGTGACATGCTGGTAATCTGAGTTAATGGGAAGAAGAATGGCACTCCATTCCTGTTTTTTTTTTTTTTTTTTTTCCCTCTTTCCCAAGTATGATATATTCTCCATTCCTGCACTTCATAAGCTCAGAGAGGAGTTTTTTTTTTTTTTTTTTTTATTTATTTATTGTTGTTGTTATTTTAATATTATTTATATATTTATTTACTTATTAGATGGTGGTCTGAAGGTCCTAAGTATTGGACCTTTTGACTTTTGAACTTTATACTGAATATGGATAAAATAAATGTTTTTTATGTCTTCATTAAATTTTTGATAATGTTTGATGTTCTGTTGTAATTCTTTATAGGGTTTATGTCATGTTCCTTAACAAATCCCATCTGGTTTGTCAAAACGAGACTTCAGTTAGATCAACGGTAAGTTCATTAAATGTTATTGTTTCATTTTGCAGGTATTTTCATTTTCTAAGAAGTCTAAATCTTATTTTTTAAATTAAAATATTCCATGGTACTTAATAGAAATAATTAGTCAGCTTAATGTATTAAGTACATCACCATATTCTTCTAAGAGTTTTCCCCATCTGCTAGTAATTTTTCCACTCTTATATACAGCTGTTGATAGCTGAATTTATTGTAGTTATTTATTTATAGCTGAATATTTAGCATGAATTCTTCTGTCATACCTTTGCAAAGTATAATTTTGAAAATTTTATTAAATTCACTTCAAAATTTTTTGTTAATAGTTTGAAAATGTGTGAATATAATTTATTCTGAATCCTGAGACTACTACAATTCCAGATGATGCTGATCATTTCTAAATCTTAATTTATCTTAGAAAGGTGATGTTCATTATCAAAGTCTGTTTTTAAAGGATGCCCCTTGCTATGTGTTCACTTAGGAAGGTGTTCCTACAAGAGGGTTTTTATTAGTCTTGAAAATGTAAAAAAAAAAAAAAAAAAAAAAAATGGGTGCAAAAAGTCAGGTGAAAATATTATTCTTTGAGGCATTAATAAAATGCTACCAATGGATCCAGAATCATGGAGGTTTATGAGCATATAGTGTCTGTGCAGCAAGGTGCAATCAAAACGGGGAGCTGAAAGTCCACTTAGTCCTGTCCTGTGCTGAAACTTGTATATAAAACTCTTTGGATATCATTTATTAAAATACAATGGATGCTTTCCCTCAAAAATGAAGTGGAACTGTGCAGTTATTACACTGGGACTACTCCTGTATGACCAATGGAAAATTTCTGTTGTTTTTACCCACTTCTGTTTTGCTATGTGGATTTTCTAGTCTGGCAAAATAAAAATTGTTGCCACTTCACATAGGCCTGTTAGTGACCAACCGAATAAGACTGCTAAATATCGAGAATTCAATGTAGTTTCAAATTCTGGCAAACAAGCTCGCTGCATGGGTATTTTTTGGCTCTCTCATGTATAACATGAAATAAATCTGTTCTTAGAAGATAGTCCTTTGTGAAGGTATCACTCACTGTAAGCAGACAGATATTGCATGCTTTGTTGTAATCAAAACAGTCTCATTTATCCAGTCTATCACCATTTCACTTTATGAAATGCTGGATGCAAGGTTTGTGTATAGATAGGTGATCCAGTGAAAAAATAGTACAGCCTTCTTTGTTAAGTGCAGAAGTGGTTCAGATGAGTTTGCAGTTTCAAAAACGTTTTATAATTACCTTTAATAACATGCTCAATATTATTTGAAATATTTAAATCCTTGGACCATAAAATTATTAATTAGTGCCAAATAATCAGTAAAAATTGTTTTCAAACTCTTTAAAATATTTTCCATATTTGCTGTATTATTAGTTACAAAACTGCAAGTTTTGCATTTAAACCTATTTCCAAATTTTTTAATGTCATTAAAAGCAAGGATAAATAAATTTTCACTTATATGTGTTGATGATGAATCAACGATAAGCAGATACCCAGTTGCACAAACTTATTCATGGATTATAGCTTTATTGTGGATGTACAAGACCAATCATGCAGCATTGTGCATATTGTTAACTAAAATGTTACAGCATTTCTCTACTTGGTCTTCATATCTGTAGCAATTTACATTCATTCATAGACAGGGACGTATATCCAGGATGCAGCATTTCCATTAATTTTATGAAACAAGGGTTTTCTAGTCCTATGCATTTGTTAGCGTAAACGAATGGATTTTTGAGAAGATGCTGTTTTTACAATATATTTAGATCATACACTGTGCGTTTTGAATTACTGCATTTATCAGATTTACCTTCAAGACTTAGATGAACATAAAAGTAACACATGTTCTTGCATTGTACAAACATGGATTGGTTAACCCTTTCATAGTAAAGTTGCCCGTGCATATTGTCAGGTCGTCCGATTTACACTCATTTTCTACCTGGTGCTTTCTCCCATCATGTTAGTGCATGGCTCATTGTTTTCAGGAGTTGTTAAATGACATGCCAGGCATCTTTGAAGCCATTAAAGTAGTTGTCTTATATGAATGCACTTTCCCTCTCCTTTGTTTATCTTCAAAGTTTAGCTGTTGATGCTTGCAGTTGCAATCCTGTCCTAAAGGGAAACTGCACACGGTGGGGGAAAACCTTACAAAGATCCCCAAGAGAGATAAAATAAATAAATTCATCTAAATAGTTATTGTTAATGCTGTAGCGTTCTACTTTGTATCTAGGGGAAAGGAAATCCATTCTAACAGAAATTTGTATTTACAGGCATTTCAGATGTCTGAGAAGAACATATTTTGGTATCTATCGATGTGTATTTGAAACAGTTTCATTCTTAAAAAATTTTCTGTTTTTTATATTCAGCAATTAAAACCTCTTGAAAAGCGCTATTATCTTTTGATTAAATATTTGATTATTGCTCCTCGTGTTTTTAAAACATGGAAGAATATAACAATTTTAATCCTTTGGGGGGAGGACACTGACTAAAATAATTGTTACCCTGTTATGAATTGGATATAAATATTGCATAATAAATTTCTGTAAGTTATGAAGATGAAGAGAGTAAATGGAAATTTAAAATTGGAATCTGGATTGAGATAGCAATTTTTATTACTTTTGTATTTATGATTTTATGAAAATTGAGCACGTAAAAGTTTTGCTGTATTGCTTCTGTCTGACATTTTTCAAATTTAAAGTAATTTCTTTTTGTTCTCTTTTAGATCTTATGGCAGCATTAGTACTGTACAGTGCATTAAGGATATATACAATTCTAAAGGAATTCTTGGTTTTTACAAAGGGATCACAGCCTCCTATTTTGGTATTTCAGAGACTATAATACATTTTGTAATATATGAATTCATTAAAGCCAAATTGCATGAGAGAAGATTAAAGAATCCATATCAAACTGATAGGAAGTCTACAAGGGATTTTGTAGAATTTATGTGTGCTGGTGCTATTTCTAAAACATGTGCATCATGCATAGCCTATCCCCATGGTAAGTACAAATTTACATTAAAAGACTACAATTACATAGAGCAAAGTTATTGCATTAAGATTGATGGTGTGGGTATTACTAATTAGTTTATTTTCTTAATTCATCAATCTTTGTTGTTGTGCATCTTTTCTTGTTTTTTACCAGTTTGGTTTTGTAGCGAATAGAAAGGGCTGCTCATACCTCTTAAAACATTCAGAAGTATCTATCATCATAAGTTAGTTTCTAGTTTTACATCTACTTTCTTTGCAACCATAGCCTTGTTCATTAGTGCTATATTTTACATGATCAATTAACACTTTGTGTCATCTTTAATACATTTTAAAAGCTTAATAAATTAACATAAAGAAGTCATTAATCTTGATAGCAGCCTCATAACACATTGGACACAGATTCTGTTCTGTGTTCCATGGTTAAGATCTGTTGTTGTCAAACCAAGATGACACTTGACTGGCTTTGACCACTCATGTTTATAAGCTTCACATTTGGATTAAAGCTACTTTATTTTAAGCCTAAGATAACTACTTTTCTTCTAGTTATTCAACCATAACTATTGATAAAATACAAATAATTAAATAGATCACGGTACATTATGTTATTGATTATCTTTTCATTGATGTATAATTTAATGTTATTTATTGCAAAAAGAGAGAGAGTGGTGTTATGACACAGATTTTTTAAGAGAATCCCCCCTCAAAAAAAAGATTTCCTCTCTTTTTGTCATTGGTGTATGCACTGAAGGGCCATTCATTACATTATGATCACCCTGTTAATAACATGTACGACCACCTTTAGCCCTCAAGACTTCCAGCACTCAGCGTGGCATTGACTCCACAAGGTGTTGATATGCAGTCTTGAGGCATCTCATACCAAGCGCTCACCAACTGATCCTGCAGTTCCTGCACATTGCGAGGGGTTAGCATGGCAGCACGAATTTGGTTTTCCAGGTGGGACCACAAATGCTCTATTGGATTAATGTTAAGTGAATTGAGGCCAAGACGTGACTTGAAGGTCACTAGAATGTTCTTCGAACCACTTTAAAGATTTGATCCTTATGGCATGGTGTATTATTCTGTTGGTAAACACCATCCTCCCTGTTGCCATGAATGGCTGAACTTGGTCTGCAACAATGATTACATAGCATATAGCTGTTGGGGATTGTTCTATGGGGATTATGGGTCCTAATGTTGCTCCATGTAAACATTACTCACACCATAATACTCCCACCACCAACTTGTGTCTGTCTAACTGTGCATCCGGAGCCAGGGTTTCATTTGGAAATTGGCCTTAGCACATCCCGTCTAATATGGGGTACCTGAAAATGTGATTCGTCGGACCAAGTTTCTTCCATTCTTTTAATGTTCAGTTCCGGTGTTTCTTGGCCCACTGTAGATGCAGCTGGCTATTACATGCTGTCACTGCAGGGACATGCTTTGGCCTCCGGCTGCATAGCCCCATAAGCAGCAATGTATGTTGCACAGTTTGTTGAGAAACATTGTGTGGGTTGCCACTGTTGTAGCTCTTCGGTTACAGCGAACAATGCATAGCAATCTCCACTCTCCTCTGGAATCGATGTGCCATTGACGACACACTGCTGGGCGGCAACTTGTCATTTCACCATCTATACAATGTTTTCGATATGTGCTTGCAAATGCACGTGAACAATCTACTAAACTTGTCGTTTCTAATATTGATGTTCCCAGTTCCCGAGCCATAACGATTTGACCTTTATCAAAGCCTGATAAATCAGCTGCTTTTCCCATTATGTTGCTAATGGTACTATTTTTGGAAAACCCCAACATCAGCCGCACACACGCAGTGGTTTTGTTCCTATTCGAGCCCATTGCTATAAATGGAGGGTGGTCATAATGTAATGGCTCTACGGTGTATATGCTAGAATCAAATATGTATATGTGTATACTTGTGATATCCCTGATGGACATATTTCCATTGGTTGTAAGCTTCAATTTTTTAAGTTAAAAAATCTATAATGCATAATATGAATCTAGGTGTTACAAATAACATATCTAATATATGAGACTGCTCAGAGCCACCAGTGACCGAGCAGTAAAGTTACTGAACACCTTGTAGTTCGACTTGGATTCAATTCCAGATGAATGGATTGGCTGCTTGAGCATTTTCATGGTTTTCCTCATGTGTATCATGGATATGATAGTTTCCTTAAGAAAGTTCTCCACAAAAGCATCTCTTCCCTTAAGCAGATAGCCCTCGAGTGTTTGACCATAATCAAATAAACCAATAAATTGCTTTTTTCTCGGTTTAAAAATCATATACTATATAATCATTTTTGGCTTTTATAAAAATCCAGAGTACCTTTCCATTTCGCCAGAGCAAATCTCGCCAAGTAGACTTTATTGGCGAAACACACAGTATACACATAAAAATTGTTGACAAATGTTAGTTCTAAGAATTTTTTTATTTTGAAGGTATAAACATTTTAATGTTGTGTAAAATTTTTTAAGAAAGCCAATAAATAAAGACAATAAATTTGTAAAAAGACGTTAATTTAAGAATTTACATTGCTTTCATCGTACAACATCCTGATTCGCCGCTTGCTTCGTATCACGTCACCCCCAAGTGATCTCATATCATGTAAACTACGCTACAAAAATCTAATTCTCTCAGTAATTATCTACATTAATTTCAAGTTTAATCTTAATTTGGAATACAAGTTTAAATGCAAGCATTATTTCAATTCGTACGACTAGCTTACTCAGAAATTAAAATTGCAGTGCTTTACTTCACTAGTGCATTCTCATTAGAATTGATGAATTTAACCCTTGACTTTGTGCCTTTTCTATATTTTCACCATCGGGTGAGCGGTGTGATTGCATCCTAATTGACTTAATTACCGCCCGCGAATGGCCTTGGGGCATAAAATTGAACTATCTGGTGTAAAAATTCTATGTAATTGTATGCAAGTATTGAAAAAAACAATCTGATAAGAAATGGCTGCGACATGTTTTGAAAATATAAAAGTTAAAGTAAAAGGTTACCAGCGAGGATATTTCGTTTGGCATCGGTTGTACCATTACTGGCGACTTTATCAGTTACGCCGGCAAAACGGAAAAGTACCAAACTCAGATTTCAAAAAGCAGATATTTACCAAAATAACCTTGTAGTTATATACAAAGCCATTGTGATCTCTCATTTCTTGTATTTCTTCCAATAAATTTTAATTAGATTTTTTAATTTTTTTATTTTAGAAGTTGTAAGGACCAGGCTACGGCAAGTGGGTGATAAATATAAGTCATTTTTCCAAACTCTGTGTCTGGTGTACAAAGAAGAGTCTCATCATGGATTGTACAGAGGTCTGGGTACACAGTTAATTAGACAGATTCCAAACACTGCTATCATGATGGCAACGTATGAAGCAGTGGTTTATCTTCTAACGAATTATCAGTGTACAGTTCCCACAGTGCCCATTCAGATTTGTGAAGAAGATGAATCTTACTGAAGCTTATTTTTAATATGCATGTATATAGATACTTGCCAAAAGTTTTATACGTCAAGAAAATAGTGTATAAAAAGATGTGTTGATTTAATTTTTTATAGTTATATTTAACTCCATTTTTGATTTTCAAGTTTCATATCCTAGCTTGAAGTATAATTTTTTTTTTGGTTGTTCCTATGGGAACAATGCATTTTTTCATTTAACACTGAATCAATTTTTTTTTTTTTTTTTTAAATACTGGTTGCTGCTATTTCAGAATGAATTTGCAAGGAGTGGTGCTTTCTTTTGAATGTGACATTGTAAATATTTTATGGAAAGGTTGAGTATACAAGGTAGATCAACTGTATTTAGTCCTCAGTTTTCTAGTCTTCCCATCCCTTGTTACTTTGTGTATCAAAGAAATTCCTTTTTAAGTGGGGGGAAAAATAATGATTAAACATTCCTTTGTAATAAACTAGAACTGAATTTTAGCAAGTTTTTTTTTTAGTTAAATGAAATTTGGAATTTGCAAACTAGTTAAAAATAGAGCTTTGAGGTATATAATAGAAATGAATTTATCTGACTCTGAATCATATTCTAGAAATACATGTTAAATCCTTGAATTGTATACATTATTTGTATTTTAACTAAAGACTTTAAAACTTGTATATAAAATAGTCAAATTCCATGCAATATTATTGTATATATTTCATTATAGCACAAGTGACTTGTTTTCAATTGTATAGTGTACAGAATCTTTGAATAAAAAATATTGTTTCAAAAACATTGAAATATAATTTATTTTAAAATTACTTTCACAATGAAAATGTACGTATATATTAAAAAAATTCTGTAATTATTTACAGATACATAAGCTAAATAGTCACTCATAATCTTTGAAAGTATGCATATTAAAAATTACTAGACCAGTAGTCACAGATAAACTTCTAATAATTGAATAGATAGGATACATTATGGTACTCATTAAATAGTCTTTTGGTTATTTAATTATAACTTTTGACAGACTTCAGATAATTAAATTGATTAGGGTACATTATGCTACTGATTAAATTTTCATTAAATATATATATAATTTAATGATACTTACTGCAAAAACAGTGCATGGTGTTACAAACCCTGAAAAGCAGATTCCCCCCCCCCAAAAGGTTCCCTGAATTTTTGTCATTGGTGTATATGTATATATATGTAAAATAAAAAATTTGAAGCAAACTTCTAAATTTAATTCAGTATAACCTCTTATTTTCTATTTCATTTGGGAACTTTGTCTGTCTGTCCTAAAAATAGCGTTTAAGTCTAAACTGCATCATTCAAATTAATCATATGATTTTACGTAACCCTTAATGCAGATGCCTCTTGACCAATTACCAAATTCCAAACCAAAACTTTTCACATGCTTCCATCTTGCTTAACTATGCACTTCAGCTTTGCTCTCTACTGTGCTAACATGTAATTTTACTGGCTTGCTTTCTATCTCAACAATATCAAAAATGTAAACCTTCTGTGGAAAGGCACGACAAGAGTGCCAAGTGATCTGTGGCCACGTAACGTCAGTTGGAAATAAAAATGAAATTAAAACCGCCTTGACTGCCAAGTTCTTTGGATACTACGCAATCAAAATTCTTCTTCAATATGGATTTAAGCAAGCATTGATCTGCTCTGGCTTTTCCTTGCGCTTTTATTTTATTATGTCATATATATATACTAAAATGAAATATGTATTTCTGTATGAGTATAAAATATATATATGGACAAAATTTACAGTTATTTTACTGCTTTAGTCTACAAGAAAATGTGTGATAGAATAAATTTCCACTTATTTGTATTTGAGAGTTTCTAGGAGACTGTATACTCGAGAAGATAAGTTCTACATTTAAAAAATATATATATTTAGTGAACTGATTAGTCAAACAGCAAGGCAGATAAAAATCCATTGGAACTTTTATAAACCACTTTTTATAAAAATATGTTAAATGTAATACATTTTTAAACTTATTTTTATCTGGCTTTAAGGATGTAAACATAAGAAGTAGAGGAAATTAAATTTCAAAATGTTTTTTTATTCAGTTGCTCATTTAAATGGTGGTCCCTAATTAAAATTTCTCCTAAAATAAAGATATTTTCTTTATCAATTCAATATCTATAAATTTTGATTTGAAATACTATATACAATAATAGAATTATAATAGATAATCCATGCAAAGAAAGTGTGTAAGGCTCTAATAAATCAGATTGTTGAATTAATGTAATAAACATAGCATTATCTTAGCAATGTTTAATTTGCAAACACCAAAGATTTACTACTACATTTGCACAAATATGACAGTTTCTTTTACAGATAAACACTACTATCACAAACTTACGTTTAATGCCCCCCCCCCCAGTACATCTGTGAACGATTGCATCAGTTTTACTGAATTTCAAGATTATAAAACCTCAGTTGGTTTTCTCACAACTCCCTTATCCATCTGAATTGCACAAGATCTGATTCTACCATCTAGTTCAGTTAATAATTGTTTAATCCTATTTAATATCCAATTATAGTGTATCATTATCTTTTACGAGTGCAACATCATTAATCTTAAACATGGGAAAAAAATTTTTTTTGGAGGTTTTGAAAACAGCCAGCTTTCCAACAGACTGATAGATGACGCCCCCAAGTGCCACTATTTATCACAATGCATCCCTTAAAGCACAATACCACCGCCACCAGCTTGTGTAAGACCTGCTGTACAGGGGGGAGCAACTGTTCCCTGGAAGACTGTGTACTCTGACATGACCATCAACGTGATGAATAAGAAGATTCAACCGACCAGGCAGCTGTCTTCGGCTTATCCGTGGTCACGCTTTCGAGACATGAGAAACAAAATTTTTGTCTATCGGCCCAGTAGAACGAGAGAAACTGGGGGGGGGGGAAACCCGCAAACTGAAAAAAATTGTGCCAAGTTAAAGTTTTGAATTTCTCCGTAAATTTCGGACCAATTTTACAAAATTTAATATCTAGGCATAATTTGAGTCGTAGAATTGAAATATGGAAAAAACATTGGTATGTTATTTCAGGAAAAGTCCGATTTTGTGTCGAAATACCTGTATTAGAACAATGCTAGATATAAATTTAATACATATCCTATGTAGTGCTTTCGAGGCATGAAAAACACAAGTTGAATTTCATCAATCGGCCCAGAATACGCGATATATGTAACTGTCCCCACCTTTTTTTTTTATTAACCGTTATTTGTGTTTTAACTAAAGTCTTTAAAACTTGTATATAAAAATAGTCAAATTCCATGCAGTATTATTATATATTTTAATTATAGTACAAGTGAGTTGTTTCAATTTGTGAATAAAGCATCATTTGGAAACATTGAAATACGATTTATTTAAAAAATATTTTCACAATGAAAATGTAGGTATATATTAAAATATTCTGTAATTATTTACATATACATAAACTAAATAGTTACTCATCATCTTTTAAAGTATGCATATAAAAATCACAAGACTAATATTTACAAATAAAGCTCCTAAGATAAAAAATGTTTCCATTTTCAAAATAATGTTTCCAGATATCTTACAAGCATTTTTCCCCCTGATTTTTATGCAGCAGTCTGGCTAAAAAAGTTAGCCTTTTCTTTAAATGCGGCAATTCTTTGCTTCTTTTCTTCCTCTTGCCGTTTTCTTTCTTCTTGCTCTGCTCTGATCTCTTCTTCAAACTTTGAACTTGCTGTCTGTTCAGCAATCTAACAGGACGAGAGAATATATCAAAATTTATAGTTATTCCTAGTGCTAAATCTACAGAAATATAATGTACGATAGAATAAATTTCCATGTATTCATATCTGAGAGTTTCTAGGAGGAAGAAGACATGAGAAGATCAATTCTGCATTAAAAATCTGGAAAATATATACCATATTTTCCTGCGTATAACGCACATCTATAATTTCAAGCTACTTTCTTTTAATTTTTAGATATATTCGCCGTATAACGCGCACCCAGTTCTTCACAAATCAATCTAAGATACATGTGCAGTGCTCTTATCTTTTGAGGTCTCTTATTCGAACATTTGTTTTAACCTTTCGAACAATGGTAAACCACACTGACAAGTGATAAAGGGAACAATATGTGTGTGGGTTAAATGCTTGGGGAGGAAGTAAATATCCAACAAAGAGAGTAAATTGTATTCAATGCAGTTGTCCAAAAGAATGCTATTGTAGAGCACTTCCAACCTGAATGAATTCGTGGAATTAGATGTTTTCTCTTTGTGTAGTCATTTGAAGAGAAAATCGAAGGCTTTAGTAAATCGCATTTGCTTTAGTCGAAACACAGTTGATTTAGTGCTCCTTTTAGTAGTAAATATTAGTAAATACCGCTTCTGCAAAAAGAAACAAATACAGTACTTGTTTCAAATGCAAAGCCATTTATTTTGCGAAAGAAAATGCAAATCATGCTGCAGCAAGGATGTTTGGTGTTGGTGAAAGATGGAATGGATAATGATTATTTATTTATGGATCAAAATAACAAGATATGATAAAGGTGAAACATTCAATGATACACCTGAAGATAGAGTGGAGGATGAACATGACATGCTCAATTTTGCATTTTACAAACATGTCAAATGCATATTGTATTTTTAAAATAATTTTTATCTAGACTTTAACGTTAAAACTTTTATACTAAAAAAAAATTGCCAATTTACTAACAAAATTACTTCTAAAGTAATTTTTATGCTGTTTAAAATCTTCAAAGAAAGGTTTTTGCCCAAGTTGAATCCCTATACTCTAGTAACTTTCCACACACAAGAGCTGGTTTATTTAATTTCAGCAATGCTATCTGCCTATGGGGAGGATGCCTTTGTGGAAGACTTTATAAAGAAAACCGGCTCGTATACACGTTACACATGGGGAAAACTACGAAAACGCCCATGCAGCCAGACAGCGGTATTCGAACCTCGGTCCCAGCTACCAGTGTTCAGCGACTTTACTGCTCGGCCGCTGGTGGGCCTCTTTTTGTACACAAATGCAAATGGATCATTAACACTGCTAGCAATAAATAAAAAATATTAGACTTGAAATGTTTTATTAAAGTTGAGCCCATAAGAGAAAAATACTCTACAGCTGCTATTTTTAACATTTTCTCCCTATCTGACACAGACAAGCTTATTATGTAGAATGTAAACAAATCTACTGCAAGGTGCATTTAAATTAAAATTTGGCTTCTGGAAAAAAAAGTGGCCAAATAAATTCAACACACATACCTAATTAAATGCAAAAATTTATATTAAAAGAAAATAGAATATGCTGTCCAAAGTAAAGATTTATCTAAATCAAAACATTTGTAGATTCATGATCCATGTTTGCAATAAAATGGGTTTTCTATATGCATACATAAAATGATAAATACCTTTCAATAATAAAATTACTTCAGTCAAAATTATGCATCTTTGTTAGTTTATTTACATGGTTATATAAGAAAACTTACCATTAAATTTTATAATGCCGAATTTTTTTAATCTGACATTTTGTTTGTTTACATTTGAAATGGATACAGATGACAGGCATTCATCGATTACTATTTCCTTGTATATAAAATTTAGCATGTTTACTTCTAACCAAACAGCTACTACTTCTAAATCTAACAGATATTTATTTTGCTCATTAAAAAAAAAAAAAAAAATTTGAATGGAAATGGGGAAAAAGGAAATTGAAGCATAAAATGAGTAGGTTAATATATACATGCTCATTAGCCAAGTTCATATTTTGTATAAAGCTACAATTACTTTCCAAGACCCGAATATATGCAGAATACTTTGTATCATAATTCAATGAGAAAATCTGCTTTTTTCTTATTTTATGCTTAGTTAACATTCCTCTCATACATTTGTCTTTAATTAATCTTAGCCAAAGGTTTATGATAAAATAATACAATTTGGTTTTCAAGTTTATGCTTCTTTAAGGAAATATTCTTTCGAACTTACAGGACTAAAAAAGTTGTGCAAATGCACCTGACAAAGATAATGCATTGTAATATCTTGTTATTTAATAAATAACTATATTGTTGAAGTGGCAATGCCATATTTGTATTATGTAACCATTGCTCAGCAATGTGAGAAATTGTTTTAAAATTCCGATTCTGAAGTTTTTACCAGCTAGTAGTAGTATGAAAGTTTTGCCACTAAAGAATTTCTTTAAATTATCTATCTTCGTGAACTAGAAATAAAATTTATGTTCTACTAAGAAGACTGCCTGTTTTTGTCAATTACTGCAAAAAATACATTACAGCATGTTTATAAATTAAATTTTACTGTATTAAAGTTACTTCAAACATACTTTGGCTTCAAAGAAATTTTTGGCACCTCCGACTCCAGCTTCTTCAACATTTATTTCAGTCAGATTAGCGAGTTGAGACAATCCACCATTCAAGTCCAGTTCTCCTGCTTTTGCTTTCCTGTAGATCAGCAGGAACTAAAAAAAAAATCGAGTCAAGTTGATAGAAAATGCGAATAATATCAAATAAAAGTATGTATTTTATGCCGTTATGGCTTCACTGATTAATTCCTTAGGATATCGATATTGTTTTGCCTTTATCAACAAATGCTTTTAAATATTCAGTTCTACTATAAACAGGATGAAACAGAAATAATTTTAAACTGGAGTTTAAATACCTATATAGAGTAGTTTTTCATTTCTTTTTCTTACTTTCAGCAACAAGAACCAGTGTAATATTCCTAAATTTGCAGGGTTAGCTTCAAAGATTTAAATATAGTTTTCTTCAGTTGCAGAAGTGCAAATGATGAAAGAGAAGCCAGTGATAAGGCAGTAGGAATTAGTGATGGGCAACTTCGGTACATTCTTGTACCCGGTATGAGAGTAACGGGTACAGACAAGTACCCGGTACAAAATACCCATTACTCAAGTAACCATTACTTTGAAAAGTACCGAAAACCGATTTCAAGTACCGAGTACCCAAGTAACGATTTGGAGTACTGAAGTAACGAAATACCGGAGTAACGGTTTGCTGTACCGTAGTACCCTAGTAACGGTTTGCTGTACCAGAGTATCCTAGTAACGGTTTGCTGTACCGGAGTACCCTAGTAATGGTTTGCTGTACCGGAGTACCCTAGTAACGATTTGGAGTACCAGAGTACCCTAGTAACGATTTGGAGTACCAGAGTACCCTAGTAACGATTTGGAGTACCGAAATACGCAGCTAACGATTTTGCGCACTGAAGGAACTCTTCCACGTCACCACGTGTTTGATTTTATCTGTACGGAGTAGATTTTGAATATCAGAAAACATGTCAACTATGGAAGTGTCTGAGGAGCAGACCATTCATGGACACAAGAAGCGCATATCACCATTTTGCAAATACAACCAGATACTACTGTCCTCGTACCAAAACCGAAGTGAGCTGAACCCTCATCGATCCTCCAGTAACGAATACCGAGAAGAGACGCATATTTTTGTTACAAAGTAACGAATACCGAAAAGCACCCGTTTCGGTACAGAAATAATGAATACCGAAAAGTACCCGTTTCGGTACAGAAGTAACGAATACCGAAGAGTACCCATTTCGGTACAGAAGTAACAAATACCGAAAAGTACCCGTTTCGGTACAGAAGTAACGAATACCGAAAAGTAGCCGTTTCGGTACAGAGTAACGAATACCGAAAAGTACCGATTTCGGTACTGAAGTAACGGGTACTTGGATGTACCGATTTTTAGTACCCGTTACAAAATACCCGGTTCGGTAGTACTGACTCATCACTAGTAGGAATGAAAGGAAAGAAATCAAGTTACTGGTGCCATCTATTGATGAGAAATGAAAACGACTATTAAACAATTTCCTTAAAAGCTAAGAGTAAAGACAGACTGTAATTGGGATTGCGAACTAAAACTAAAAGATTTTTATGATAATGTGAAACGTCTCTTAGAAATTAATTCGCCAACTTTTTTTTTTTAATAATTCTGCTGCAGAGAAAGGGAAAATGATTTTTGTGACCAACAGTTTTGGCAACGAGTTTCTTTTTTCCTATATATGCCTCATGTTCCTTAATACAAAATTATAAGGCTTTACATTGACCAATGACAAAACCACACTGACAAGTCAACTGAATAGCAAAACTTTTGAACTTGGGACACCCAATTTTCCATTCTCCGACATCTTGGTCACACTTAACATACCCAACTTTAGTATTACTGTTTACCATAACTTAGCCGCCAGTGGACCTTTATGTTATAGGAAAACAGACACATAAATCCCCTACTGCACAACACTGTTTGTCAGAAAATCACATTTTCATTTTTCTGCAGCCAAAATTACTCAAAATAACATCCTGCCTTGGCGAATTAGAGAATTTCTAAAGGTTATTCTGAAGCAGAAGACATGAAAAATGAGCAACGCCCTCGCCGGGATTCTAACCTGGAGCTCTCGAATACGAACAGAGCATGCTAACCGTTACACCACGAAGGCATGCAGAAAAGAGGGAGAAAATACCATATAAAATACAGTAAATAATTTGAGTATATATCTGCATATTTTATGTACCCAAGCCTCAATAATCAATGAATGTACCTATAGGGCAAGGAGACGTTTCATTACACAATGTAACTCTCATAAAGGACTTATCACAAACTAGTGTAACTATTCTTAATTTCACTCACCAGATTAGATGCCTGCAGATTATTACGTTCTTGTCAGAAGTATATATTTGATTGAAAATGATGTCATGAAGTTGCATTTAAACTCAAATGCTAATATTTATCAATTACAATTATCACTTTGCATATGTTCAACTGAACATGAATAGAAAATTGCCAAGATCAATTATCCTGGGAAGCGTAATCGCTTGATAGCCTGCTTCGCGAATTATTATTATTATTTTTAATCAAATGGGGGGGGGGCACTTGCCTTTCTTTCAGCATTGACCGTGGAGGCACCTAGGCGGCCACCGTTACTCCCTATGTGGGTACAGGCAATTTACATCCATGCCTTCCCCACGATTCAAACCCGGGCCCTTCCGTATCGCAGTCACGACCCTAACCACTATACCATCTGGGCAGCTCGTGAATTATATTCTGAATGAATGAATGAATATGATAATTGGTTATTATTAAGTGTATTTGGAAATATGCTTGAGCACAATATGAAATATTGAAAGTTTCACTTTTAAATTTGGAATAGGAACAGAAATTAATCTTCAAATATCAATTCACCACTGGTAGCAATTTACATTGTTTTACAATACAGGCTCATTGACTTGAAAGTTTGTTTAAATATGTGAAAGAAAATGACTAACTTCTCTAAAGCTGATTTTTTTATCCAAGTCTTCATCAACTTCTTTGATCATTTCTTTGAGTGCCAGATGAGTCTGGGGAGCACCAAGGAGTTCCATCATTCTTTTAAGTTCTTCGATGTCTATGAAGTTGTCATGGCCTACATCGAATCTGAAGGACAAAGAAATCTTAATTAGTATTAAAAAATAATTTTAAAACTTTCTGCAATTTGAACAGCATTCCTAATATGAACACATAAAAAAAGGGACAAAATAAGTTCATTCTATAAGAATTTAAAAGGAAAAAGGATACCCCAAATCTTGAATAATTTTGATGTTTATAAGCACTGATCTATTTCCAAACAATAAGTGAGAAAATTACAGGAACATTCAATCATTCAAGTCCATAAATGCTTGGAATAGGATGAAAATACATGCTGACAAAAATGCTTGCAAATCAAAAGAAATGTTAAATAAAATGAAAATAGTTTATAGAAAGAAATAGGTCTAATAGGATCAACAACAACAAAAAAGGGCATATGGGACTTTTAATAGGATTCCATTAAATGGTAAACAACAAATTGGATATTAATAATTAAAATTAAAAACTTCATTAAGATCAGTTCACAGTGTATGGGAGAAAAATTTAAGATAGTGCAGATTTTATATGGTATGACATAAAATATAATTCGAGACCGAACGAGAGCATTAAAATAATTGAAAAAGCTGTTCAGTTGAGAATTATATTTGTACAAGTTCAAACAAGCAACAAAATGTTTAGTGCTGCCATCTAGCGGTTAAGAAAGAATTTAGTTCCTCTCCCAATAAGGAAGTTAAACTCAAACATATAAATTTAAAATTCATAAACATAATCTAAATTTAAAGAAAAAAGTAATTTCTCTTCACAAAAGAAATAACGAAAATTTAAGGTTTAAACGTTACAAACTATACTACGACAAATGTAATGCATGGGTCACAGTTTAAATATTAGGTAAAATATTGGAGTGTCAAACTGATATACGTAAATAAATCAGTTATATAGATACTCGAATGCACATCAGATAATGTTTAGTGCTGCCATGTAGCAAGAAAGAAAGAATTTAATTAGTTTTTCATTAATGTAGCAAACGTAGCACATACTATGAATACCTAAATATCAGAATGTTTCATAATTTATGGAATGAAAAATATTGCGAATGGTAAGAAGGATATACACAGATCACATATCTTGCATAATTCATTATTTTCAAAGAATCTAAAGACTTTTCAAATTCTTCTAATATTTCTTTTTATTTATTATTTTGGAATTTAACAAACTTGAATCAGTTCTATCAAAATGAACATCGACTACGCCAAAAATGTGACGTCTTTCCACTAACATAAAGGTTAGGATATTGCGAATGCATACGAATCACTATATTGCGGGCCATAAAATGTACGCGTTTTTATTCCAAATGTACAGAGCTACCTTAATTTTAATGAAACGTACACATTTAGTGTTTCAAACGCGCGACAAAATGTTTAGTGCTGCCATCTAGTGGTTAAGAAAGAATTTAATTCCTCTCCCAGTAAGAAAGTTAAATTCAACATATAAATTTTAAATTCATAAACACGTAAAAAAAAAAAAAAAAACCTCTTTACAAAAGGAATAACCAAAATTTCAAGTCTAAACTTTACAAACTATACTGCGACAAATATTACAAATTATGCTGTTACTCAAGTCCTGATCTGAATCTAAGTCAGATCAGATCGACGAATTTCATCGTGGCCAGGGTAGAATTTCACTGAGGAAAAGAATTGCGCTTGTGTTTGGGGTGAGAAGAGATGCGAAGCTTCGTTCTCCAACTTCTAACCTTTCGAGAAAATTATTTACTGGAAACTATTTCAAATTCTCTCACTCCCCAAAGACATAATTATAAACATCCATGCGTTTTTCTTTCATTCGAATCCGGGCCAAAATCTACGACAACCGTGTTTCCTTACTACCATGCTAACTAGGTGTGATTAATATTAACAGAAGTAAAATATACATAATCGAGATACTTTTCAAATGCAGTAGGTCAAGAGGGGCTATCTGCCTAAGGGGAAGGATGCCTTCGTGGAGGACTTTAAGGGGAAACTGGCTCGTATACACGTTACACATGGGGAAAACCACGAAAACACCCATGCAGACAGCTCGTTCGCGGGATTCGAACCTCGGACCGAACTACTAGTGTTCAGCGACTTTACCGCTCGGCCGCTGGTGGACGGTTGGTCAAGAGGAACCTACTTAGTTAGCTAAACTTTAACTCAAGCTTGCACAATCCGTTTATATGTAAATTGCTTTAATGTGTAATTTTTGTTTAAATATTTATATTAGAATAATCCAAGTAATATTTGTTAATGCCATCTGTTAGTCAATTAGGAGAGAAATTTTAATTAATATGTGCTAAAATCAAGGTGTGTATGATAAAGGTATATGTGCTAAAATCAAGATTGCCGAGTTTTCAAATGCATATTCTGCACTGAATTAAAATGCATTAAACATAAAAATAAATGTGAACTATAAATCCTAAAACTGTTAAAAATATTACACCTTGGCAATGTAGCCTTAAACGTAGATGCAAATAACTTTCCTCAATGTCTAGGAACAGGTTTGTCCAACATAAGGTTCGAGCCGTAGTCCTGTCCGGTGAAGGGTTTAATCCAGCACGCCAACCGCTGTTTGAAATTTTAGAAGTTCAATAATTTAAAAATAAAAGTTACAGATAAATGATGTCTTCAGAAGTAAGAAAAATTTGGGGAGTTTAATAGGAAACAATTATCGTGGATAGAAGTACTGCAACTATGCTGGAACCCCAAATTTCACAAATTCGGCAAACGGTCATTCAGATTTCTCCAGGCTACAGAAACGGTTCATTCTAAGTTTCAAGTAACAAACATTTTAATTTTAGTTCAATGTGTGAAATTTAACATGCCCTCAGGTCAAAATCAAATTCATTATTCCAAAAAAAGTACCTAAAATCTTTATAGTAAAAATAAGTGTTAATTATTCCAGCTAGTAAACCACTCTTATGAAGCGTTACCAAAATGATAACTTTAACTTTCATTAGGAATACGACTTTTGACTTTCATTAGGAATACGACTTTTGACTTTTGACTAAGTTTTCTCTTAGAAGTATTTTATGAAGTTGGTGCGTTTCATGTTAGAGATGCACTGACATTCTCTTGGCAAATATCAACACATATATCCAAATATGAACATTCCGGTGCAAAATTAATTTTGAACGCAGAGCTGCTTGGACAGTAGAGATTTTGGTAACTGAACAAACATAATGGGGCCACATTGTGTTTGAGAAGGAGAAAGTTCCGTGTTAATTTTTAAAAAAATTAAATTTATCAAGACATAGCATTCCATGAAACATGCCTGTGAAAACAGGTGATCGAGTACACTCTGGAAAAGGTAAAATTTCAAGGTAATCTGGAAGCCCAAATCATGATGCGGGCAACAAGATCGGTAACTCGGTATGTAAAGAAATAACCAAGAAAAATAAAACGCCATCAGGTGGGCTATTATGAAAAATGTTTAGGCATATTACATGTGTTGTATACCTTGGTTAAAAAGTTCATGATGGAAAAAACATACTTCATTCTAACTGGGGCTGATTATTTCAGGCAAAACGCACAAAGGCTGTTTTCCGAAAAGACCTCTGTGTTGCGCTTTGCAAAGGACATTAACTCTAATTCGGGCAACATTACCTTGCTACTTCGAGAGCGACCTTAACATGATACAGAGGCCTTCCTTAGTTGACTGTGCCGGCGGGGCGCCAACCCACCGAACAGCCCGCAGGGACTTCTCATGTTCATCGCCACAATCCATCACACTGAGGGCTGCGCGGGGAGCCGCCCTCCCCGGCACAGCGCTTAAATCTACATGAGAGGGTCCCCACAGCGAAGGTAACGGACACGACAGTACCAGTACGGTCCCTGCCAAGCCCGCACCTACCATAGGATGGACCTATGGTTCTAGTCCTGTGAAGTCTGATTATATATACCCAACAAATCGAAGCTGAGGCTTTGCAAAGGAAACTGTTCGCTTCGTATTTATTTTGCACATGGGAAAAAAAAATCCACAAAAGTGCAGGTAGCCTTTTTTCAAGGATCTGAACCCCGGTCGAGCCACCCAGTGTTCAGGCGCCCTTCTTAATGGTTTATTAAACACTATAAAAGTAAAAAACTCGCCTAGCATATCGCACAGTAAAAAATACCGTTCAAATAACACTATTAAAGAAGGGACGCAAGATACAATTGTGCAGAAAAGGTCAAGTTTGAGGGAAATAAACTCCTCTCACACGTAGCCACTCAGGGACCAATAACGGAACATTCTGTTTGAGATTAGTGTTAACTTGAAATTTAACACAAAATTCTGTAAGACTGGAAAACATAAAAGAATGCTCGAAAGGTATTTGAATTTACATCAATTACAGGTTATTAAACAGGTTATTAAAATTAATCCAAACGTGATCGTGGAGGTCATTATTAATCTACAGGTTAACAGTTACTGCAGTGGGTCGAAGTAGCAAAAAGTGAATTATTATAATAAAATACCACGGCTACAATAGTGTAGAATTGGGTGCCATTTTCGATTGGCGACAAATTTTGTTCAGTTTTGGTGATGGAATCCCGTTTCTGGTTACCATGATAGTTTTAACTTGGTTTTAGCTTCCTGACTTTTTTAAGTGAAAATAAATCGATCTGTACATGGACAAAGCAGTGCGGAGTTCGTGCAATTCTCTGATGTTTTTTTAAGCGAAAATAGATCGATGTGTGCATGGACACCGAGTTTGTGCAATTCTTTGACTTCTTATGTTGGCTTTTGGTTTTGTGCAACGACCATAAGATTTATATACTTTGTTACATAATAACAGTCCAAGAACTAGCCATTTACAAAGTCACGAGGAATATAATAGTTTTACATTTCACTTGCCAAGACATATAGCTCATAACGGTTCGATAGCGTAACGGTTCAGAAATTTTTGAAACACTCTGCTAGTCTTTTTAAATGCCCACAAAAAAGACAGAAAATATGTATTTTTAATGAAGCAGTTTTAAAACATTGAAAAATCTAACAAATTAAGAAAATACAGCTTTCGTTTACAGTCAAAGGCAAGAGATAGTTTACAGACTTGGAAT